AACCGTGAACCCTACGGGTTTTATTGACATGTCTAGCCAAGACCAAGGGCTAGGCCCATGCCTGTGTCGAGCCAACTGGTATGCGCGTGCGTGTTGCGGAAGTTAGCACTTACCGCCTACACTTGATGCATAGTTTTACCCTTTACTTATTGTTGTGACCTATACGGACTCTCTATACAATAATTAAAAAAAAAATATATATCCTCATTTAAAAGTCTGAGATATGTCTTGATAGAGTTGTAAACGAACCGAACGTTCGCGAAAAAAAGCTCGTTCGAGCTCATTCGTGTTTGACAAAGCTCGTTCATTTGTTAATCGAGCCGAGTTCGAACAAAAAGTTGATGCAGAAGCGTAGTAGATGAAAGGGAAGAAAGTGAACAACTCACGTTTAGTAAATCTGAAGAATGAATAATCTGTTTATTTTCTCCAGCAGAAGCAACATATAAGCATAAAAGAGTCCTACTACCACTTATCTTGCTAAACAAGATAATTATTTAATTACCAACATTATTCCTATAACTAGAAAATAAACTAAATAAAAGATAAATAATATGTAGGAAATAAAGCACTAAATGCGGAGTCGGTCGTATTTGTCCAAGAACGCCATCGCGGTCTCATCCCCATCATCTTCCCCCGGTTGGGAAGGATTCGGCCTCGAATCCGAACTGGTCTCATCCCCATCGGAATTATCCCCCGTAAAAGGCACCAAATGTTTGACGTTGAAGACGTCAGACGTACGAATATGAGAAGGAAGACGGAGGCGATAAGCATTCGGGTTAATTTTCTGAATTACCTCAACCGGGCCAATCTTGCGCGCCGACAGCTTATTGCACTCATGGGCCGAAAATCTGTCCTTAGTCAAGACCGCCCAAACGTAATCGCCGACCTCGAACTCCACATGTCGGCGTCGTGCATCAGCTTGCCGCTTGTAGGTCGCCGTCGTCTCCTCCAAACGGGCCCGGGCCTGTGCATGTCCGGCCTTCAACTCCGCCACGACATCCGTCGCGCGCCTGTCAACCGGGACTGCCGACGGGAGAGACAGCAAATCCGACGGGCCGTGGGGCTGCAACCCATAGACCGTCTGAAACGGAGAGAGCCCGGTCACTCGGCTAACGGCCGAATTATGTGCGAACTCGGCCGGGCTTAGCCACTGATCCCAACACTTAAGGTTGTCGCCCACCAAACACCGAAGCAAGTTACCCAACGAGCGATTCACCACCTCCGTTTGACCATCCGTTTGTGGATGATAAGCACTGCTAAAATCCAGTCGGGTATTGGCCATGCGCCACAAACTTCGCCAAAAATGGCTCAAAAATCGAGTATCCCGATCTGAGACAATAGAAGACGGAAGGCCGTGCAAACGATAAATCTCGCGAAAAAATAACTGGGCCACGTGGACAACATCGGTAGTACGTTTGCACGGAACGAAGTGGACCATTTTAGAAAAACGATCCACCACCACAAAGATCGAATCAAACCCCCGTTGTGTACGGGGCAACCCCAAGACAAAATCCATACTGATCGCGAGCCACGATGCAGACGGGATCGGAAGAGGCCTATATAAGCCGGCATTGGTCGCGACCCCTTTCGAAACCTGGCAAACTCGACAACGTTCGACAAAGCGGGCAACATCACGTCGAAGGGATGGCCAAAAGTATGAACGGCTCACCAACGCGACCGAACGGTCACGCCCCACATGGCCGGTGCCATGAAGCTCGCCAATGATCTTAAGCCGCAAGCTACAATCCGGTAGACAAAGGCGCACGCCACGAAAAAGAAAGCCATCAGTCAAAGTATAGTCCTCGAAAGGACCATCAGCCAAACGACGA